AGGCAGAGACTCGAGAACTTGGTGACAGCTGGCGAGATTATAAAAAGAGGATAGAGGAAAAACAAAGAAATAACTACAATGATGGTTTAACCGCTTGCATAGCGCGGTACAAGAGCACGAGCCGGTCCAAGATTCTGCTGATCGTGTAGGGTGCTGATCGTGTAGGGTGCTGATCGTGTAGGGTGCTGATCGTGTAGGGTGATGATCGTGTAGGATGCGAATTATGACCACATGTGATTTTCGGCATAGCACTTGATGATGATGATGATGATGATGATATTTCAAGGCAGAAAAAGGTAGGGGGCCGAATTTTTCACAGAAAAGGGGGTGGGGTGTGGGTCAAACAAGTTTGGGAGACACTGATTTTAACGAAACATCCCTAACTTCTTCTTAAAGAAAAGACATTAGTAGACCAACCTAGAGGTGGACTCGGGACATTGGAGATCTCTTGACAATAAAAGGCGAATGGTAGGAGGTACTTAAGCTTTTCCCATAGCCACATAGGGTTGCAGGTTACACATGACTGGTATAACTATAGCTTCTTTGGAGGCTGAATGGGCAATCTGGGATCTGTTGTGTTGGTCTGCCGTCCAGGTAGATTTGTTTTTACATTTCTGCATGGTATGGTAAATCTGTAGGTATCAGCCCGCAGGGGACAATCTGATCAATCGATCCTACTTAGGGCCTGGCGAAATCTGAAGGTTTACCCCCACCTCCTTTTTTCCAGATAATTGTAAAGGGGTTGACTGAAAATCCCCTTTCAAACCTTTTTTCTGGTATTGAGGTTTTCTTTATTACTTTCTTTATACTTATTTATACATTTCTTTTATTTGAAACATGTTAGTATTTATTGTTTGTTTATCTTTTTTTAAAGCAATTACTATTATTATTATTTATTATTATTACTATTATTATTATTATTATTATTATTATTATTATTATTATTATTATACCACCTTTTCGTCTTTCCAGACAATAATGTTCTGTTGTGTTTATAAGGAGGCATGGGAATCACATCCCAACAATCAAGGCTCCTCAAAGCATAACACATGAGCAATATTATTATAATAATAGTAACCACCACAACATTACCCACCCAGTCAGACAATATACATTTGTTTTCTGGTTCCCTTGTACTAGCAAATAATCCAGAATTCTGCCGGCTGGTTGTGATAAACAAGGGTTCAGTAAAAGACCTACAACGTGTGTACGATAACAATTACTAATGCAGTGGTAATTCCCCATTCCGGTACTTAATTTATAACTTACCCCTGACGTCACGACAACGTCACGGGAGACACTCCCAATAAATTCTAGGGTGTTCAGGTTGTAGTTTCTCGCGATTTATCTACTGCCAAGTTTAGGGTGAGGGTTAGGATTAAAAGACACTAGATGAACACTCCAAAAAAAAAAACACACACACAACAGCACACTTGCACCCCTTTAAATAATGGACTATCAGGTCAGCTGTGGATTTCCCACGGGGATTTCGTGTTTGGGGTACGTTATAAATTAAGAACCCCCCATACCTTATAAAAACTGAATCAACAACATTAGCTTGCATAACAAGGACAGGAACGAGAAAGTGCAGTGCGAACTCAGTAGTTAATGAACCGCCATCAGACAGCTGGTAAAAAATTATCAAACACGAACAACGGGACGTAAGAAAATTGCTTATAAATAATCGCCGTAAACCAAAAAGTAGATAAAGTAATTATAAATGAAAGCGACTTAGCCGCGAAAACTGGTGCTGTGTTTAAAAATTACGTAATGAAAAAGGAAATGAGAAATTTTAAGGAATTATGGGTGAAAACCTACGTGTGTACTACGTATTACACCAGAAAGTAGTTCATATAGACTTTCTATATAAATAGGAATAAGCCATATACAACAAAAAAACTAACAAATAAGTTAGAAACAAAATAACAAAATTTGCAGGGAAGCCTTTTTTGTGTGATGGTGAAACGTTGCAAGCTAGTTTGGTCTGGCAACGTGGTGAGACATGATTCGATTGCAAAGACTTTGCTCCGAGGAACACTTCGGGTGAGAAGGGGAGAAAACCTGGAATGGCAACATCACGAAATGAACAGTATTCAATTTTTAAAGAGAGTTTAACGAGCGGAAGACAGAGAAAGATGGCGGCTTTTATGTGCTTCCATCTATACACCTCAACGACCCTACCGGGTCAAGGTTTATGTTATGTTAAGTTTACTTCCTTGTCTTTAGCGGTCCTACAGCTTTCACTAGCATATGTTAACATTAGAATAACTTGAGAATTTAGAGTTGTCTAGTTATGAATTTAATTTAATTAAAACAAAAATATAACATTAGAATTGAGAGTTTTCCATTTATAAGTTTTAATTAATTAATTAATTATTTAATTAATTGATTGGTGAGGTAGCTATGCCTCTTTCTTGTCGTTCTTCATTTCCAGATAAACCTAATCAATTCTGACAATTTTGTTGTATTCATTTTTAAAAGACTCCCTCATCCTGTCTTATTAGAAGGAAGCGGTAGTCATCGCTCGGTTTTTGGGTGTATGCATGCTTAAGTCTCCTCAGATGAACTCTCCAACCGATATGCCAGCACGGCTCTTAACAGTTCTAACAATTGTGTGTGTGTGGGTGTGTGTGTGTCAGACATGAATGGATGTATGTGTGGGTGTATGTATGTCTGTGTTGATATATGCATTTATTTATGTATTGTGGATATATACGGATATATGCATATATGTATGTGAGTTGAGTTGGGTCAAGAATTGAAATCAAAGCCTTCCTATGCATGCTCCGTCCACATCTTCAGCAGCCAGCACAGAGTGCCAATACTGATGGTACCGGTCACAATCTGGTTTCATGTCCGATTTGCTTGTCCCCTGAGTGTACTCAGCCGGCCAGACCTTCTGGTTAAAACCAGGTACTTCATTCTCTCCAGGCCATAAAAATCTTCTTTCTCTACTGATTCCGTTGCTTGTTTCCAAAGGGATTTGACCGCATCTGCCTTGTCATGTATCATTTTACTGCCCAGTAGTGCAGATATTATATGTATGTATGAATGTATACTTTTTATGTGTGTGTGTATATCTTTATATGTGTGTAAGATTTGCGGTGGTATCTTAAAATCCTCGAATTTAACGTACACATTTGGTATCTGTTGGCAATGTCCACATGTGCTTTCCTGTCTTCTCTCATGACAATTTACTCTGATTTTCTCGGAATTGTTCTAACATAATTTTCTTTTGACCGTTTTCGTCCCACAGACCCCCACGGAGAACCACAGAACGCCAGTATTGATCCAGACAACATTCAACAGATCTCCAGTAAAGCAGCCATCTCAACAAATCTCCAGTAAAGCGGCCATCTCGGACTGGCATTGTCAGTCTATCTACCCCAGTCAACAGGAAGAACTAGAGGGTCACATTCAGACACCATAGATGCCACCGCACAAGAGGCCTTCAAACAATCAGTGTTTCAGTTTGATACAGTGACGGTCTATTTAACATCTACCTGCGCATACCGAATGCTCGCTGATGTTGATCCTCAATATTTTTGATCAATGACAAGAACAACTGATGAATTCGACGTTAACCTAAATGTTCTATGGTCAGCTGTCGTCGCGTACAGTATATATAATAAAGTTGATAAATTCATATCTACTTCTAGTACATACAAATGTCGAAGAAGTTATAACACGTCTAGATTAAAGTAGAAACGTAGTTTTGTATAAATTTGAGCTAACTGAATTTTGAAAAAGCTCGGAGTCATTTCCTCCCCCCCCCCCCTTCCCCCCTCAAATGTTGAATTGGACGATGAACACATTTTCATACAGGCTAGAATAAATCCGCATGTAATTATTACCTGAAACTCGAGAATATGTCTTTTCGTGCTGTACTATGTAAACTGAGTTCTAAATAAGGACACAAAACACCACAAAATTACAAACTGAAAAAGTATAGACTATACAGCTATTTGCTGAAGTATGAAAACGTATTCACACTTGTGAAGTGTATATCAGGACACAAAATGAACTGTAATATAAAGAAATCCAGCCATAATATCTTCTATATAATATATGACTCAAGTGTGTTGCAGTGCACGCATAGAACATTCAGTTTAAAAAAAAAACTAACTTTTTAAAGAGTCACAAATCTGGCACATTCCTCCCTTCCAAACACTTATCTGTCAAACGGCAACTGTAATTTATCTGTGAAGCATGTTATATTATTATACTAGTATTCATAATATGTAGGACAACTCCAGTGTACACAAGCATGGGAAACATAAATAAAAAGAATACTATTTAAGTTTCGAAAGAGTCACAAATCTGGCACATTCCTCCCTTCCAAACACTTATCTGTCAAACGGCAACTGTAATTTATCTGTGAAGCATGTTATATTATTATACTAGTATTCATAATATGTAGGACAACTCCAGTGTACACAAGCATGGGAAACATAAATAAAAAGAATACTATTTAAGTTTCGAAACCACTCTACCCACAAGATTTTCTTTAATCGAAGGAGAAGAATGTATTCAAACAATCCAGATTTGTTTTACTGTCTGAAGTATACAGGAGCAATATGTGGTCGAAACATATGCTTTAGGGGAAACTTATATTATAGAATTTAATATTGTGGAGAAACTATATTACTCAAATTCAATATATTTTCTAAAAACCTCACAAATCGACCCAATGATAAAATCTGGAAGCAATCAGATGACCAAGAAAACTCTAAAGTACCCTAAACAAAGCAAAGTGTATGCTTTATTGCAGTTTTAACTGCGATGATAACTCGAAAGTCTAATGCAAAGGTTACATTCTAACCGCAAGCGACATATGATGCTTTTTGTTGGTGTTACCCATGTGAACTAGATATATAGTATGCCTTTATTCAAATAATGCTAGGACATTAAAAAAAATAATGGACGATTTCGATGCACAACGCTATATTTATATGGAAAGCCCGTCATCAAGAAAGGAGCAGAATGTTAAATTTCCTGATATGATATCAACTCAGTCCAGTCCCTTGGTGACATACCTGGATTTCTCTATACCTGACAGAGTGGTGCTAACCTACACCAACGACTCCTTCTATTTTGACTTCAATTCTTCTTTCGGTTCATGGGAAAACGATACGTCATCGTCGCCCACACCTTCAGCACCATCATGGTGGTGGTCGCACTACCCAAGTGGCTTCTCTTGGCCGCACATCATCGGTGGGGCCAGCATTATCACCGTAATTATCCTAATAATCATTTTTGGAAATTTTCTAGTCATTTGGGCCATTATCCACGACCGCACACTTAAAACGACACAGAACCTTTTTATTGCCTCGCTGGCATTCGCAGATTTCTTTTTGGGACTAATTGTCATACCGTTTTCATTGACTAATGAGCTGATCGGCTACTGGCTGTTTGGTGTTATTTGGTGCGAGCTGTATAAAGCAATCGACGTTCTGCTATGCACCGCCTCCATCATGTCTTTATGCCTGATATCTCTGGACAGATACTGGTCAATCACTAGGGCTGTCCACTACGCACGTCAGAGAACAAGAAAACGAGCGGCTGTGATGATCTTCACAGTGTGGTTTATTTCCGCCGTAGTTAGCATTCCACCATTGATCGGATGGAAGCAGCCTACACAGGAGTCTCAGTGGCCCTTGTGTAACCTTAGCAAAGATATAGGCTACGTTGTGTATTCAGCTTTGGGTTCCTTTTTCATACCTGCCTTCATTATGGTGTTTGTATATTACAAAATATATCAGGCAGCGAAGGAGCGAGCTAGAAAAACCGTAAAGGCACCAACGTGTGCTTCAGACTCCAAAGCGGATCATAAACATTCGACAGAGTCCAGCATAACGGATCACGGAGGCAACAGGGAAGATTCTCATGATATAGAAGACATGACTGCTGAACCAGATGATGGAGACGGTGAAGACAAGGTGAACGAAGGAACAGCCCTGGACACTACATGTGAAAGTGTTGCACCAACTACATCAGATGACGAAGCTAACCTTCAGGTTCGAAAGGCCAGGGAAGTCCTTGCTAGTGATACTAAAGAGGAGTATTCTCATCTTCTGTCTACTGACTCTGACTCAACAGAACCAGGGGCAAAGCCGCTGATAAGGGTAACACACGGTGGAGATGGATTCGAACCAGGGCCCACATATGACATAGATATTTCCGTACACAGACCTGTAAGCACTACGAGCTTTTCCAATGCTATGGTTCCAAATGACAATCACAACAACGGATCGCTTCGCCGGTTTAAGATCGTTGAACTTCGAGCAAACGGTAATTCTGCAGTGTCTATCAATGCCCAAATTAACACTGAGAAAACCACAGTTCTCGAATCGCTTAGAAAACATCTCTTAATAAGAACGAAAAACAGCCGTAAACGAAAACAGACTGTTGTTCGCCCTGATGTTGGTGAACCAGTTGACTTTCAGACCACACAACGACAGAAACGAAAGCTGGCCAAAGCTAGAGAGCGACGAGCCACAGTCGTTCTAGGGCTTGTCATGGCCGCATTTATATTATGCTGGCTCCCATTCTTTGCCTTGTACTTAGCGTCTGCTTTCTGCCCAGGCTGTTTTCCAGACATGGTGTTTAGCGTATTTTTCTGGATTGGTTACTGTAATTCCGCGCTAAATCCGATCATCTACACTGTTTTTAATAGAGACTTTCGTCGAGCTTTTCAAAAAATAATATTTGGCAGACGACAGGTGCGACGGTGATATTTGTTTATAAATTTGATATGAATATTTTTGTTTTGTTCATTACTGCAGATGCAAGGTTGATCCTTTAATAAAGTTATCAATTCTTTTTTTTTTTTTTTTTTTTGAAAGACTCCCAAAAAAAAAAAGAGTCTATTATCTGTGTAAAACATCTTATACATAGAGCCAGTCTTACTATATGCCTTTCAATCCTGGACAATTAATAAACAACTGGACAATTAATAAAAAATCTAATTTCTTGAGGTCTCGGAGATGTAATTTTACTGAAGAATCATTAGAACTCCCCGGAAAGCTAAAAAGAGCCACCAGGATGTTTTGAAAGAGGTGAGGGTTTGAAAACAACTTATCACAAACATCAGAAAGATACAGTCAGCATTTGTGTGTGTGTGTGTGTGTGTGTGTGTGTGTGTGTGTGTGTGCCATTTTATGAGAAGAAAGAAACTTGAACATGTTGTGACCACGGGAAAGATCTGTGGAAAGAGAGACAGAGAAAAACAACGCGATAAGATTATTGACAGGCTGTTGTCCTAGCATGGAGTGGTGTCAACACACGAAATGATACAAACAGTTGCAGATCGTGGATCGTGGAAGTATGATCGCCTACAAACTACCACAGTAACTAATGAGGATTGTTTAAAAGAAGCTGCTCAAAAAAGATCAGTGTATACAGTCATAATGGGAAAAAAACAAGCACTGTACCTTGATCATGTGATGACGGGGGAGGCTTTGGAGAATAGTGTGACGACTAGGAAGATCAACGGTAGAAGTTGGAGAGGCAGACCAAGAGAGATGATGACGGATGGACAGCGACAGTGGCACGGGGGGATATTATGGGTGGATCTGATCTAAATGACAAGGGACCGAGATCTGTGTAGATGCAAGAATATCTACGCCAGTCGACGGGTCACCTGATGGTGATGATGATAATGAGGAGGAGGAGGAGGAGGATATACTGCGAACAAGTAACTATAATTAGATATAACAGAATTCAGACAACACAAATGGGGATTTAAAAAAAAAACACTAAGAGTACCACAGACATATGTCTTCGAGACAAGATATATGTCGTATTTAAACAAGCTGGAGAAATGTTTCACTTGATAAATGGGCGAAAAATAATAATAGTAATAATAATAATGTTCCTATTGAGCCATTATGCGCTACACAAGGCGTGCAGTCTATTCTTTTTTCCCGTCTAACACTTGGCAATCCTTTCCACAAGCAAGGATGGAATCCTCTCCAGCCCTTTAGCTTGTCTCATCTACGATCGCTTTTAAAACTTCTCTTGGGCGTCCTAGTTTCCTCAATCCACTTATTTCCCATTTCAGTACCTCTTCTTATTCTTTACTCACTTTTCTCAGGCAGTGCTCAAGGTGCCAACATCTTTGCCGGAAAGTGAGAAAAACAAACCTTAGACATGCTAAATGCAATGTTACTAGCAGAAAGAAAGCAGGAGTGACAAGATTGTTTGGAGCAGGTAACGAATCATTGACCTAAAAATCCTCCGGTGTACTAAAATTATCTGTCATTCTCGATCACATTATGAGAGGTAGTCAATTCGGATATATTGTGACAACTGGGAAGATTTTTGTAAAATGATAACGAGCACTGTGGAGACCAATTGTTGCCCTCAGAGCATGATCTCTCTCCCTTTCTATTTCTCTCTCCCCTCTCTCTTTCTCTCTCTCCCTCTCTCTCTCTCTTTCTCTCTCTTTCTCTCTCTCTTTCTCTCTCTCTCTCTCTCTCTCTCTCTCTCTCTCTCTCTCTAATGGACTTTTTTGTTAACTATAATGAAACTAACAAAAGTACTGTCATAAACCAGCGTGCCGTTTATCCTCTCTGGGCTGCTACCTACCAAGTTTGACACCCTAACATAAGAAGATCCCAATCCCGGTGGCAGACAACATGACCTGAAGGTGTGACACCGCAAGACTAACAAAAGGTCTCTGTGCTGGTGACAGACCAACAGGACCTGAAGGTGTGACACCACAAGACTAACAAAAGGTCTCTGTGCTGGTGACAGACCAACAGGACCTGAAGGTGTGACACCACAAGACTAACAAAAAGTCTCTGTGCTGGTGACAGACCAACAGGACCTGAAGGTGTGACACCACAAGACTAACAAAAGGTCTCTGTGCTGGTGTCAGAACAACAGGGCAGTCCCAGATACCCCGTTCAACCTCCAAGGAGGTATAATTACCCTGCCTGTAGCCAGCCTCGTGTTGCCTGCAGTCCTGTGCGGATAATAATCTCAGTATACATATGAGAAACACATAAACGATGAAACCTCACAAATACAAACACAAATCTCACTCGCAAGTAAACGAAAACTATATTTAAACATCTTCAAGAGGTGTAGAAACCTCGAAGACATACCGGAGCCATTATAGCCAAATGGATGCATAGGCAGCATCCGGTCTCGAAACCTGTTGCATTCTGGCCATGCTAGATGTCATGGTGGTCTGAAGAGACAGCGATAGCGGGTGCAGTTTCTGGGAAACGAGACGGACCCAGCAAACGCGAAGGTGAATACAGGACACTGAAGATTCATTTGCTAAGAAAGCACATAGGACAGGAACGTTGGCTAGATATAGAGAGACTTTCAGGCGAGAACAACATTCTGTAAGGGACCTGCTGGTTGACGACAATAATGATGATAATGATGGTAGCGTAGTGGCTAGACGTTCGCCGGCCAGTCCTGAAGGTCTTGGCTTTAGGTGTTGTGACCTTGACTTCCATGTCATCACCATCATATTTCCGTGCTGGTAGGCGGAGGCTGCCATGTTTCGCCATCTCACGTTACCACCAGAATCACAGATCAGTTCAATGTTTTTTTCCTCGCTCCATCCATCTGGTCACGCCATCTAAGTCAACCCAGTCTAAAAAGGTCATTAGGAAAAATATAATCAAAATGAGAAGTTGAAATACTCTGCTTGGCAGTACCACAGTCACGAGCGACAAAATGAACGTTTAGGCTAGAAACCTTTCATCAGCCTATGACGCAATTGGACAATGAAACAGCTAAAAACGAGAATACATAATATCACATAGCTTTATGTTGATGGCCTAGAGCAGTGGTCTTCAACTTAGTGAACATAAGGAAGTTTCACAATTGAGCGAATCTGTACTTGTTATAACCCAGATTTTTAGTTTTAATAGCCTTGGCAGCTCGACATGGAGAGTGAACTCCCACGTGCCTTGTCCAACACCAGTATGTAAAAAAGCAGACAGGGTCACGACAAAACAGTAACACAATTATATCTGGACACTAAATTAACAGTTGTTAGTGATTGTTTCTTTCCTTATTTGACACTTTGTTTTCTGTAGAAATTTTTCTCCAAATTCTTGAAGGCAGTGCTTTAGATTTTTCTTTTTGACCCTTTCTTTTTAATCACATTTTGTTATTCTGTCTTGAGGGGGGGGGGGGGGGGGGAATCTCTTGCCATCTATTTAAAGGGGTCTCTTCTCGTAAAACTTGCTGGAGGCAACTGGTCTAGAGAATGCGTGGCAGGTAATCTAGACATGGTAGGAACAATAGAGACCACGTAATGTCCTTTAAAGTTCTTCCTCTTCTTTGCGTATACCGGCTGTAAACTCCAGCGGAAGGTTCTGGACTTTAGTCTTTTGCTCTAGAACCTGAGTGTTGCGTGCACATCTGTTTTACAGATCTTATTTTTTTATGCAAATTGTTGGTTTCTTGAATCTCAGGCAGATGCGCTTCGACTTCAAAGGAAGTTCTCAGTCAGTCGACTCTTACGACATGCTAGCTGGGGAGGCAGTGGGTCTATTCTTGTTTTTCCTACAATGGGGCCCTGGAACCCATACAGGCAATCATGGGAAGTAAAGGTAGGCAGCCGACATCACCCTTAGAGTGTCAATCATATTCCCGATGCGCTACTTGCGGAAAAAGCCCCCCTTCCCCTTTTCCTTGAGTGGTAAACATCGGGCAAACAGCCTTTACTTCCCATGAATTTACCTACAACCTATATTGGGATGCGGCGACTTAGGAGCCAATGTCATTTGCAAATAATCTTATTCGATGCAGATTCGAACTCACGACTTTCGACCCACAAGTCTAGCCGCAACACTACCGCGAATTGCCTTTACTTTTTACCCAAGAAAAAAAAAGCACATTAGTCATGAGTTCGATCTGCAAACGTCGAGGCAACATTTACTTCTGACCAGCCGACTCTGGGATCATGCCAGTCTCATTAAATGCGTAGCAGAGACTTTCCCCCTGATTTGGTAAGGACGCCTGGCGATTTACTGATTATATTACCTCGTGGGAGCTGTTCGTCGAGAAAGATATGAGCCTACCAGTTATCTTCAGCGGCCAATCTTTTTTCAGATCTCTAATTCCGTCATGGAAAATATTAGCCAAACTTCTTCCTAGACAAATCTTTTTATGAAGACTAGTCGCAGTAATGTTCAATTTTTAATTTGTTGTTTCTGTTGTTGTTAGTGTTGCAGTTGTCGTTGTTGCGGCTGCTGCTGCTGTTGCTATTGTTGTTGTTGTCGTTGTTGTTAGGGGTGGTGTCTGTTACTCTGTGGCTTATATATTAAGTGCACTCTATTCACAATTCTCGACTTGCCTATTCTCTCTTTCCGCTTCATGCGGTTTAGAAAAAGAACAGTAATTCTAGCATCAGTCATACTCTGAAATAGATCGAGGCCGAAGCATGCAACATTTCCAAAAACGTTCAAGCACATACCCAATGCAGTCAAACTCCGTTGCGGAAAAGACACATATAATAATAATAATAATAATAATTATTATTATTATTATTATTATTATTATTATTATCGTTATTATTACTATTATTATCATTATTATCGTTATTATTATTATTATTATTATTATTGTTATTATTACCATCTAAATTGCATACAGACATCAGGTCAACAGGTTTGCATACTTCGAGAGAATGCAAAGGGACAATATGCCATAAAAAAGAAAAGGACGTAGGGTATAATGTAGACCATGCCTAGCGAAGTGATCA